TTAAAAAGAAGGAAAGAACTGAACAAAAGAGATAGATCAGTATTCTCATTAGTTGATCTTCCTAATGGCAGGTCCTATCTATTGCTAAAGGACCTGGAAAGGTCCTAAATATTGCTAAACTCTTGGGTCAAGGGACAAGTGAGCTTTTACAGCTTTTCTTTTATATATATGTATATATACACTCACATAATATACTCATATATATATATACAACACATAATTAAAATGCTGACCTTGCTGAGGACCATGGGAGGGCAGTGTTAATGGCATTCTGTGCTCACCTAACTGATCATTAATGCCTGTGCACCACTCCTTTGTTAACGCTGCCTCATTGACTGGTACAAAAGTGCTTTGTCAAACACATACAGTATTTACTGAAGAATATGAGTAAAGCAGGTGCTGTCTGTTGCAAATCTACAAAGAAAGTGGTCCTTTTCAAACTTACAATAAGCTGCAACAGAGGTTTTAAGAAAAATGCTAGTTAAATCAATGAATATTTGAAAAATCCAATGCTTTTATAGAGATGTATTTTCAGTTTTTATTATGTTTTCACAGATGATTGGGAGCAGAAGAATGGGAATTTCCCATGCTTAAAGTTTATATTTACAAAGTTCAGAATTCCTCTGTGAAAGTTAACAATTCTACTTTACACAATAATGTAACTATTGTACTATTACTTTCCATAGTATTCTTATTTGGACTTCATATAACTTAAGTGAGACACTGAAGTGAGAAATGAGCTCTTCTAAACAGAGCAACAGTGCAGGCTGCTCACCCTGACATCAGAGATTGCTGGACTGTGCCTCAGTAACAAACAACCTGAACTCTCAGGTTCTCTGTGTATTTTAAATAAGCTGAAATTTGATTTACAACATTTTTATATTTTTTGAAAAGTGCCAGAAAATGGAATGCTTTGCGTTTCTGTTCTGCTTGGAGCAAAGAAAATATCATGGTCTCCAAGTTGATATTCGTATAATACAAATACTCTCGAAATGGCAGTCCAAGAGCTGTGCCTCATCGTGTAAAGGGGTGAACATTTCCTTCAAACAGAATACTTTTAAATCCTCTTAACTTTTGTGACTGCTAAGAGCAACCTGAATATTGCAGAGGATTGTCTGTACCTGACAAAATTATTCAAAATGTTCTCCATCCACAATTTGAATATAATTTATGTGCTTTCTGGAAAGCTGACACAATATGCAGCTGGCAGAATTTATTTTTTTTTAACAGTTCTAAATTACAAGGTAATGATGGCGAGCCTCACAGTAAGACCCAAATGAGCTTATATCTGTGTGGAAATTATAGGGGCATAATAAATTCTGGTACTCAAAATGCCGGTTCAGTTACTTTTCCGATGAGAATCTCACCTTAAGTTCTCTGTATGAAGTTTAAGCTTTTTTCCCCTTAAGTGATTTGCAGGACATTTGCTTTACATAGTTATCTATGTCCATTTATCAGAGCATCAACAAGGGATGTATTTCCCTATTTCAAAACAATAAAGGAAACCCCAAAAGATCACACAAAGTTTTTCTAGGTGTTTGTTTCTCTTATTCTCTTTCTGCATTCAAGCAACCTCTCCACATCATGCCCCTACGCATGATTCCTGAATTTTTCCAGCCATTTCACTGTGCATCTCTGAGGAGAGCCTGACTCTGATGTCTCTCAAAGCCCACTTCAGGTCTGCAGTTCAATCCCACAAAGCCCTCTCTTTTCCAGGTGAAGCAAACCCAGTTCACCCAGCTCCTCCTCATACAGCACAGCATGTGCTCCAGGCCTCTAAGCACCTTAGTACCTTTCTGCTGAGCTCACTCGGGTTTGTCAATGTTTCTCCCTTACTCTGGGGGATAGAACTGGACAGAATATTCCAGATGTGGCATCACAGGCCATCAACCTGTAGGGCCAGTTAGCCAACATCACTGTAAGTACACATTGTTGACTCATGCTCAACGCTTTGAGATAGATGAGGTGGGACTGAACCTGTTCCGTTTTGCTGAAGGTCAGTCATTTTCCACAAGCCATGCTGCCGATTGAGATGCAGAACTTGATCTCAAATAAAAAAGATGACATTTATGCAGCAACTTTCTGAAAAATACTATCACAGGAACAATTCAAATGCCAATGAAATGCAATGAGATACATTTGAAATTTATTACCTCATGAGGTAATGCAAATATCATTACTATATATATTCAGCTGTCTGATATCTGCATATAATTTTACTCATGTAAGAGGCTAAACACTTGCTCTATAGAACAAAGTGTCTTGCGTAGTCAAATGTGATCACGGGTGAGAAATCTCAAGAAGCCTTGGACTAAACCACTACCTTAAGAAAAATGTTTTTCCCTTAAAAGAAAGCACTGTCCCTTATTTTTCATGTGGTTATTCCTCATTTCCAGATAAATGATTGCTGACTGTCTGTAACACAGCAGTGTTGTAAAGTAATCTTGATAACATACCAGTGCTATGGTCACAATAGGTATTCATAATAACTGGTTACCAAAGCATTGTAGATGTATCTGCCTGCTGAGAGATGATTATTTAGAGTTTAATGACGTGAGAACAGGACACACACACGACTAGGTTGTGTTAACTGTTAACGCAGTTATTATAACGTGACCTTTTCCTCCAAGGATCACAACTTTGTGATCCCACCCAACTGGGTATAACGAGGTTGTACAAGGTTGGAATCTATCCAAGAACTTCAAGTGTATGATTTTCCTTTATGCCTACAATAACTTGGTCAAAAAGAGTAAAACTGGATTTTCTGGGAACAGAAGGGAGATCTAGGTAATTGTTGCTACTCAGAAAGGATGGAGGCTGCTGGGACTGCACAGATTCTTGCCAGAAACATTTGGTGCCACAAGATGGCAATCACGCATTTCCCACAGCCCTCACTTCGATAGAAGGTTCCGGAAGTTCAGTAGCATCAAGGAGCAGGAGAGCTACATTGCATCAGGGCAATACAAACAAAAGTCATCTCAGGAAAGCAGAGTCATTATAATGTTGCACAATTTATTTCTTATAATAGTTTATTAAGCTATCTTTATAACAGAAAAGCTACATGAGCTATGGAAACATGAAACTAGATTTACCATCTTAATCCTATTTTGGCAATTTTCCCATAACATTGGGAACATTCGGAGCCTTGTGATTAGTACTTGTTACTGCTGTTAGAAAGAATGATTCACTCCCCTAAGGGGGGTTTGGCAAGAGGTAAATGGTGGAAAAAGATAAGAGTGGAAAATTGGGGAAGAAGCCAGAACTGGTTTAAGGAAAAAAAAAGTATATATAGATATACATATATACACACTGTATATATATTATGTAAAGTGCATATTTTATCTTTACTACACTACATATAGTATACATACAGTGTGCATACATATACATACTGTGTGTTTGTTTTGAGAGCACTGCAAAAAACATGAACAAGCACAGTAAAAATATAGAAACTGAATTACTAAGTTGCAAAGTTTGACATTTCTTTTAGCTTTTTTAGTTCTTTTTTAGTTTTTTTTTTAGTTCTAACGTCTGGCAAAATAAGCTGAATGATACCTGTATCACCAAAAGCAGAAGAGGAAATAATTAGACTTCTGTATGTAAAGAAATCATAACCAGGTATACAACTCCAAGTTCTGAAGTATTCTTCAGCAACACAAAATACCAGAGCAGCATTTACTGCTTTATGAGATCCCTCCATCACAAACAAGGGGTCTGGGATAGTATGATTCTCCTCTCTGAGACCCATCACTTTAAATGGTGAATCAAACCCCCTAAATTCTCCATACTGCAACTAAAAATCCATGGAGACAGAGGCATGTCCTTCAGAACAGATTCACTACACAGGTTGATTCACCATCTCTCGTAAAAGAGGTCTGTCACCATTTGCTACAAGGCTGGATGAAATGCATACACAGACCAACTTCAGTCTGTACTTAAACAACTACATACACTTATGTACAGGGCAACCTACAGAAGATAATCTGGAAGTGTAGAGCTAAATCAAAGGGATAATAGGCTTTGATCAATAAAGAGAACATGTCAATGCAGTACAGACTAAGTTCATGTCATGTGCTGCTTTTGGCTACCACATCAAAGCCAGCAAATACGCCTATGTCTGCATGGGAACAGTGAAGGAATTTATATTTTTCTAATTAAAATTATACTGAGCCCCTGAGACAAATAAGCAAAACAAAACAACTGTTGACAGTATTAATGGCCTGAGAACAAGATTATACTTCAGTAAATTAATTGTGTACATTTTGCTCAGAGATTTTTAATACATTTTTCTTTTATTCCTCCAGCTGTACATCCTCCCAGTTAGCAGAATGATATAAAACAATCTGAAAAAAAGACAAGTGAAGCCCACGTATATGTTATTAATAGTGTAATTGAAGAGACACAATAGACAAACCTCAAACAATCCTGGTTGAAAATGTGTTCAAGCACCACTTAAGCTTAACTGTACCAGTAACATGTCAGAGGAAAAACATTTCTTCCAGTCCATTCACGCCAATTGTTTGACAGCATTTCATGTATACTAAATTACTTTCCTCTGTATATGTGCTTTTAAACGCCATAGGAGGAAAAGAACACATATCCCAAAAAAAAGAAAATTGAGACCATACATTCACAAAAGTTGCCGGAGCCATACTCATGAAGGAAATGTCTGTAGCACCCAATTGCTATAAACAAGGTCGTTCAGCTACAATAACAACTGGATTAACATCACATTTCTCATTAAAACTTTTGAAAACATCTGAAATGCAACACTCCTCCAGGAAGACGATTACCTTTACCAGAGTCTCCAAAAATCACTGCAAGGCAGTGTTTCCATATGGACGTTGCAGAAAAAAGCACCATCTCTGTACTCAACAACAGTACCTCCTGCAATGCACAGATTTTCTTTGGAAGTTTTCTTACAGAGATATGGATTCAGCTGGGGGCTTAGTCAACTTTACTCTTAAAAATTTATTTTATATTTGTTTAAAGAGGTTTACCTCTAGGAGCCATGGTTTTAGTTTTCTGTCCAGCAGAATATCAAATCCCAGGACTTCAAAGCAGACACTGTCACTTCCAGGTGCTTGCCCTGGCCTGCACATGCGATAAGCATGAAGAACATGTGGCTCTGCAACTATGAGAGTCTTCACTACTAACTCCTGTAGGGATTTTTTTCAGAAAAATTCATCAGGAGAGAAGACACCAGTATATATTGAACTAGTGTGTTTCATAGTTTAATCTTTTACATTTCGTTAAAGTATCTACTAAAAGAGATTTAAAACACCAAATAAATGGTCTATAATAAATACACTATTCATATGAAGTGTCAGATATATTTTTTACATAGCTCTCCAGAATATTGTTATACTTCCCATAGTACATACATACTTTTAGATATGTAATACCTTAAATGCTAAACGTATATTGGGAAAAAGAATAGTATAGTATATCTTCATCCATTTTATTTTGAAATATAATTTTCAATAAATATTCTCAGAATCATATTTAAAGTCGATGGCTAAGATCTAACAATCCTAGGCCTATTCCTCACCTAAAGACACCCATAACATAATCACTGACTTCAATGGCACAGGTTCTAGTGTTGTAAATATTCACACATAAAATTAACTTTATACTCTAGAAAAGTCTCCAACAATTTAAATGGAATGGTTCCTTTCTATCATAATAGTTACATGAATTGCAGTTTGAAAGGGCTTTTCTCCCTCAGAAAAAGTTTGACATTAAATTTATAATCAAACCGTGAATTTAGCCTTTCAAAAACCATAATCATCATTTACAGTATGTCCTTTATAGCATGCATCACTGAGAATTTGAATAAATAAAGTTTTTAAAAAATCACTCTGGATTCCAGTAAAGTGGATGGCAATAGCAATTGATTTTCTAAGAATATACATACATAAAATGAAGAAAAGCATATTAGTTTTATCTTACTGAAATATCACTCCAGAATTTCGAGACATCAAGATTGTTTGTTTCTAGAAACTCAGTAAACCATTTTATGGAGCGTTTGCTGCCTTTGTCTTCTGTTTCATCCCGTTCAAAGTGTTCATTATGTTTATTGACAGAGTAGTTAGTCAGATGCATATACAATTGACTCTAAAAAAAGGGAGAAAAGACATTAAAAACTCATTAAATACAACTGTAGAGAGGTCAACTCAAAATAATTAAAAGAAAATAAAAACATGTTAGATTAATAATGACATAGCCAAACAGTTCACATCTGCAAATAACAGTATGTGTAGATTTAGCATTTCTGATTCTTGGCAATTTCATCTACTGAATGTTCTAGCCTTCTTATAACAAAACCTGTGCTCCTATTTAAGCCAGTTGCAGTCAATCAATTACCACTCAACATCTGCTTAGGCAATATATCTCCCATTTTTACAGGTCTGTATGTAAACAACTACCTGAAAAAGTGAAGAGCAATTATGACTTACAGAATGATTACATTCCACAAGAAGCAAACAATAAAGATGGTATTTTGAAGTGCTACTTTAAAAGTGCTAAAAAACACTCTGGCATCTGTTTCATAGACAATCCCACATTTCAGTTTTCACTGTAGTTTATTTATGAGGAATGTTCTCATGATAGTGATAGTTTAAAGTATCTTTTACATATAAATTCATCTGCCATGTTGATATCTGCCAAAATTGCTCATTTTTGACTGGCTGGTAGCCATACCTCAGAGGGAGGTAAATTTAAAGATATACATTGTATAAACGAGTGTGTGTTATCGTTCCTTTATAGAGCAATATGTCACCAGCAACAGATTCATGTTATCAGTTGCATTAAAAAAAAAAAAAAAATTACCTTTGCAAGGCTAATTTATAAATCATTATTTATATGTTTATATTATCTCCCAGTACAGGTATTAATTGAGCTGTTCATCTACACTACCGTGATGACTGCCATCACAGTGACAGTTCTCTGTCACGTTTGATTCCTTACTTGAGTGTAGTTGATATCCTAAGCTGACCGTAAGCCTTCTGTTCCAATTCCTTTTTGATAAGACAGCCAATAGATAACACAAGCCTTATGCTGTCATTTATCTCACTGTACTTACTTATGTTTAAAAAAAAAACAAACCCAATTAAATTAACAAAAACAATCAACTTAATTGCAGGATAGTTAGCAATATATTGTATTAGCACTACAAGAAATTAATTTCTCCTATGGCTTCCAGCTACTACTTCGAGAATCATTCTGAAACATATTGCTGTTGAGTCGTTATAAATGTCATCTTTCCATGAAATTAAAATTATTTCAGACAAAAGCAATTATTTTTCAGACTTCAAAAAAAATGGAAGTGTTTTTAGAACATTTGTTAAACATCTGAACTCATCTTTAGTCTGAAGTTATCTGGAACAATGTCACTGTGGAACGATGTCATCCAAAGAACAACGTCATTAGTGATAAGCCAGGTTATTTCATACAATAGACAAACTGCAACACGAACAGTTGTGTGAAAAGAGAAACAACTGCCTGTTCTGTTTATCCGCTCAGTGCTGCTAATGCTGAGATTAGTAAGAATAGAAAAATATTAAAAGCAAACTATTCCAAATATAATATTGGAACTCTTCCAGTTATACCATTTGAACTGGGCTCCAAATTGTACCTGCATTCTTCAAAGGAGTAATAAGAGATAGTTACAATTTTAAGTGACAAGTAGGGAAAAAGGCTCTCTATGTTCTGTCTGTTGCATAATTACACTGAAGTAGCTCTAGAAGTATGTGATATGGAAAATTCAAGATACAGTAGCAAGGGAGTAAAGAGTGACATATAAGGAACTAAAAATCTACTGATGCCTTCCAATACTTCAAACCTAGTTCTTTCTTAACAGATTATCTGCATTTTGATCGGTGCCAGAAGAGCGTGCTTACACCTGTCAACAGGGGAAGATGCCATACAGTGCACAGGAGGATTCCAGTGTCATGTCCCTTACCATTTCTTGGTTCTCTGCAAGTTTCTAGGCAGCCCTGCAGCATCACCCTAAAGCTGTCAAGTACACACTCCTTTCCCTGCTGAAGCAGTCGCTGGCAAACAGTACCACCAGCAGATTCCCTCACGTCTCACGCACCACTCTTTGTATTGCTACTTCTCTGGTTTTTGCACAGGTTCCCAACGCAACAGCTGAAACATTGCAGGATCCTTAGCAGAAGCTCTAAACTTCAGGGATGTTAAACAAGGATCTAGCAGCAGATAAACTTTGCCTCTTCCCCCTAACCCAAATTCAGTCTCAGATAAACCTAAAAGCAATATAACTGTTCTTGATTTTTTTTTACTTCGTTTTTTTCTGGGTTGAATGTCAATAATTGACATCTTGTGCTTTCTTTTAGGAAATATTTAAATTACTTAGTATACATACATGCAAAGTCATATAAAATATTTATACATAAGCAATAATAAGGCTACACTTGTGATTTTGATAGAAAAGTATGAGTTAAATATCTTTCATTTTCATTTTTTCTATTCAGTGACAATGCAAAATTTCAGCCAGATGAATACCAAATTAAATTTCATGTCACAACTTATTTTATATTACCTCCTCCAAACACTGCACAGGTAAAAGTCTACACACATAGGCAATAAATTGGAATGAGCTCCAACTTACCAAATTTGAATCACTGGGGGGATGATACTTTTCTGTGCCCATTCTCACCAGTCCATCATGATATAAAAATACTTTTAATGGATCACAAGAGGTTACAAGAATATACACACGTAAATCAAACTTGTAGCCTTCCATAAGAAATGGTTTGTCAAGATATTCCTGAACAATCAAGTGATCCTGAGCTTGTAACTTTTCTCCATTTCTTATTAAAGAGATCCTGGTAAAAACAAAAGTTCATTTAAAAGCATGAAACTTTCACATTACTCTTCAAAATAGATTTTCATGGTCACCCAGCCAGGTGCACAGGCTAACATCTACCTGGAGAAAAGACTTGTGTATCTGATTTGTAGGGTAGAGAAAAAGTTCCATTCGCTTACATGGCTTTTGGTTTCCTGGACTTCACGGTGCTTCACTGGATGAAAAAAGGCAATGAGCCATTTCAAAATAACTTTCTGCTTCCTTTGATTCAACAATTTGTAATAATGGGTTCCCTCTACACTTAGAAATTGCTTGGCAGAACGACCAGTCTCCAGCTTCTGTCATTATTCCCCATGCAGCTCTAAAAATAGGCTTCTATTCTTTGTCACAACTTTTGCCTGAGGTACAGGTTGTAAAGAACTTTCAGTGCTAACCTGACTCAGTGATGGTGTTTGCAAAGCAGGACACTGATCGGTGCCACTAAGGATGGCATAGATTAACCTCGGTATTTCTTTATTCCAGTTTCCCCACATCCGAATGAAAAATGGTTTATATACAAACTATAAACTCACAGTCCCTAACCACACAGACTTTTAAATAACTGTAATAGCTAATATTTTTCAATTTATAATTATTAACCCTGAATTCCCATAGCTTTCTTGCCTTAATCTTACTCTTTACTGTTTATTATACATTTCAGTGTTCTGGTGTTGAATACTCCTAACATACGGAAGTACTTTCCAGACATTTCTCTCCCTTCAGCTTACCTTTGGCCTTATCAAGATGATGAAAAATAAGGAAACAGAAAAGTTTGGGGGCTTTACTTTTCCAGTAATTCTGATATATTTTTAATAACTAAGAGCTTTACTACAGCACATAATCCGAATTGATATTAAAAGCAATAAAAGCTACAATTGAAATATCTAAAAAATAAGAACAGAGTTAAGAATGAAATTGCAATATTTAACTTATTGTTTTTTATTGTGCAGCCCCGTCACAGACAAATCTCTTTCAACTCAACTGCAGGTCACAGTCTCTTCAGGGGTGTCCCACCTCCAGCATAGGTGTCACTTCCTTCCAAGAGCACACCTCCAGCCACAACCCCAACAGCATTTCCTCTGTTTCTTCTAACTCTTGTAGCTGCCACTCTTAAATATATTTGTGCTTCTGTGACTGGCTGCAGTTTTGGCACACAATGGGGTGGCTGGGCTGGTCTCAGAGCTGTGGCAGATCCTAACCTTCTCCCACACACAGCCAGTGAAACCCTGCCACTTATGCCCAATACAATCTCACCCTGTAAGTCTAAGCACAACAGAGTAATAACTACATTTTTTAGATAAATTCACAATAAAAATAATCCTAATCTTAAAAATTATGTAAGCTTCATCAGAAAATACATTCTCTAATTACGCCACATTAAGAACAACATTAAAATACCACTTCAATTCAGCTTTATATTTTAGCTGCTCCTGCTTTTTAAGTCTTCATCCAATAGATGAACCTTCATACAACTTGAAATACAATCTTCTTACTAATACACAGCTTCTATTAATTTTGCCAATAGCATTGGATTTCACCTCTAATGGGTAAGAAGACTGAAGTTAAGACACAACTTACCCATGTCCCATTGCACCATTAGCTGGTTTTACTATGAAAGTTTTCTGTCTACGTTTCTTCTTCAGTTCTTTTACATAGTTCTGAAACTGTGTGTATTCTGCAGGGAAGATCCATGTTCGAGGAATAAAACTATACTCTTGAGGTTGACTCTTGATCATTCTGCGATAGAAGAGCAAAACCAAAAATAAGGTTAAAACATTGTAGTGAACAATCTCTGAAACTGAATCTGGTTAAAGGATGCATTAAAATCTTGATCTCCCTTCTTTAATAGCTGGGACAGCTGAGGTCGTGAACATATTTCATTTTATAGCTCTGTTATTTCTGCAGAAAAGACAAATAGAGGAGGAAAAACGGTAGAAAATTCAGTTAGTAAAAGTTTCCATCACCCAAAGCCGTGTGTCGCAGACACTGCCACACTGTGTCCGGCAGATAGGAAGCATATACTCACCCCAGACTGGCAGTATGGGCTAGATATATATCTGGGGTAGCTTTAAACAAAGTAGCTTTAATACTGGTTAACAGCCAAGTTATAGAGCAATGTGGACTTGGTGATACTATGCAGACTGACATACCATAGTTCCCAGCAGAATAAATTTAGTCTTTGCCAAGTTTGATACTGGTGCAGCTAGCTTGCTTCAGGTACCACAATACCTGAAACGCCACACATAACCTCAATGAAATTAGTTCAGGTAACTCAAAACTACTCCGTAACATAGTGTGGACACATCTAAAATACAAATATCCATAGAAAGTGACTGGTTGTTTAAAAGAAATTAACTGACACAGGAAGTTCCCCAACTTTGATTTTTTAAAAAATTACATTATGATGAATTCTAATTCTTTTTTTTAATTACTGATTTAGGTATACATATCCTTTTGCAATGAAATCTAATAGCATCAGGATAACTTAAACATAAAAGAGACTTACAATATCATTCCCATTTTTCATTTCTACTATGAGCCCATGTAATATTCCTGATGCAGCACAAGACACTTTTTCTTTAAGTAGCTCAAATACTAATGGAAAAAACCAGAGCTGCCAACCACATCTGTAAGGCTAGGACTGTAGCCAATCCCTACTGGTATAATAGATGCACTGTCACCAAATTGTTTAGCCAAGGACCCAACAAACACTCTGCAGAAGCCACAATAGCTATAGTAGTCTTGAAGTCCTGCATGAGCTTCAGTGCTTCTGCAGCTTCATTGTAACTATTATTTTCACAAATCTGGTTTGATGAAAGCCACCAAATATTCAGAAAAATTCTTTAAAACCAAATAGATATTATCATTAAAGATTCATGCATATTTTTAAACTATGCTCCATCTGCTACGTATTTACAAATGTTATTACCTTGCTAACTGAATAGCTTATCTAGGCAGAAATTACACAATTTTTAGGAAAAAAGCAATTTCTGCGTTAGTTTCCATCCCTCTCCAAATTATTTACCACATGCATCTTGAAGTGCTACATGACAGAGACTTGCCATTTAAATTACTCACAGGTTTCAATACACATACTCCCTAGTCAATGAATGGTATTCTAGATATATTAATATTACTTTGTGACTGCAAGCACATCAGTTCTATATGCCTTTTTCTATCTTATGCATAACTGCGTAGACTACAAACACTTAATAACATGAAGAAGAATCCTTAACCATTGTTTACAAATTCTGATGCCCACTAAAACTTTCAACAAAAGAATTCAGCTCTGTTCTTCTCCCACTTGGTCCTATTCAGAAATGGCTTAGGATCATCATCAAGTAGCTTGCAGAATCATGATCTATTCCACTACAATAGCCCTATTTTCCAGCACATCTGCTATCCACTACTGTGGGTAACCACTTTTTCACTGTGCTGCTCTATCCTGTAGCCTTTGCCGTCCTTACCAGGAAGTCTGAGAATTAAACAGCAAATTAATGCTCTTCTGAGTGCTATTTTAGCTAATAGATGTGGTCAGACTGTGCTCTTGTTTCTCAGAGTGCTTTCTGTGCTACAGAATCAAAGGTGTTGAACAAAACGTAGGTTACTAAAGACATGAATTGTCAGTCTAACAATGCAGGTTCCACTGTCAAGGTTTCAAGATCCTCTGACTTTTCAACTATGAAAGGAGGATAGGAGGAAGGTATAGATGAAAACGATTCTTGGTCTACGATCAATTCACAAACCTTTTAATGTAAATAACAAAGGTGCTGCAAAAAAAGACTCTCTCATACATGGGTGTGTTCCCCTTCCCATTCATTCTGTACACCTTCTCCCCCATTTACTGTATTCAATATATAACCACACTTAACCTTCAAGTTAAGAGATCATTTACAGAAATTAAGATCTAGTTGGCCCTACAATAGCACCTCTTCCCCCCTACTCCCCACCTCTCTCTTTTCTGTGTTCTGATTGATGCCCTTGAAAATGATGCTCATGTCTCCTTTTGTTCTCAATTACATTCCTGTTTCTATCTGTTCATTTACTCTGTGTCCCTACACTTTCTGTGCTGGGTTGTCTTCTTTCATATCACACACACTACATATTACACCACTCCCTTCCACCCTTCTGCATGTGAAAACCACATTGTCCTGTGATCCAGAGTGCCTGGATATCAGCTGTAAGAGGAATTCCTGAAGTGCAATTCCTCCTGAAGTGCATTTGCCTCTTAAAGGCCAAAGATTTTTTCTTACGCTTCATCCTCAACAGCTTGCATAAAATGGAAGGGTGAGATCAGTGTAACAACCAAGGCAGAAATAAAATTAAAAGAAGCCTCCTTTCTACCAGTTCTCAGCAGTTGTTTCATGAACTGGTATAAAACCCACAGCTATTCTGTACAAGTCAGTATCAGGAATAGAATAGCCTGCATGCAGCAGAAAAGCAGGCGAACAGAATTAGTGTGTCTACACCATCCTGCTCAAGCAAATTTTAAGACAGAACAGCAGCTGTATGGAACAAAATCCTCCACTCCACAGACAAGAGTCTGCACAACCATGTATCCCAACTGACTTGTCATTTTACATACACGTCTGTTTCACAAACAATCTCAAGGCATATAATTTGCTTTTTATAAATTATGACCACTAAGTATTGAATTGTGAGGCTAGTACTGTCAAAAACAGACTGATTAAAAGCCTGCTACATCTAATGACATTAAGTGAAGTCACAACATAGATATGTCTGACCCAGAGTTATCAGAGAAATTATTCCCACCTTATCTATAATATGTGCAATCTCTGCATTGAGTACTTTTAACTGTGTTTCAAACTCAGAATTCAGTAGGTTGAAAGAGGTATAATCAGACTGTATTTGAAAACAATGTGTACTTTTAGTCCATTTTGCATATTTATTTAAAAAAAATAAACTGCAGAACTGCTGCAATGCACTGCCTACCAAGCTGACCAATGTTGTTTACTGTTTCCAGGACCTCTCCAAACAGCTGGTTGCCTCCATGTGCTATCTCTGTGCTTTTACTTAGAGTTTAGATCTGGAAGGGGCAGTGAAAAGTGCTTGTGTAACATGTACTGACACAAGGAAGTTCTGGCCCACGTGTAGGACATATAGACACCATAGCAATGCGTGTAATATTTGCATCATAATAGTTCCATACATTCTACATCCTATGTGTTGTAGTTACAAAACAGAAAAGGAAATGGAGAAAAAGAAAGGAGAGGTCACATTAATTACATTAATATATGAAACAACTTCTGTTCTGGTAACAGGAAATGCAGTGTAGGTACTGTTGGGGGCCAAAAGATTAACTCTATTAAGAACTGCTCTTTAAACTAATTTAGATTAGAAGAATCAAAATACTCACACACATTTATCCCTAAATTTCTCCTTATTACCAGGTGTTGAATCATTATTTAGCATTGCTTTCTTACAGGTCTTACTCACAGATTCTCAGCTAGGATAATTCCTCAGAACCCAGTTATTCCACTGGAGTGATGAGAATTTATAACTACACAAATTAGCCTCTCTGACATTTCTTATATAAACAGTAAGATGCTCCCATTTTTTAAGTCTGATACACAGAAAAATATAGTCATTAATTATTTAAAACAAATAATATTCATCCATGTGCTAGTTATTTTTCCTGTTCTACCACCACAGGATATTTGCCTGGGTAATACAATAATTTAAGACACTCTTATATTCTACAATGCATAGACAGAGATCTGAAGTCACATTTTTTTCCACTGGAGTCAACTGGACAGATAAAGTAGCCCACTCCAATGCTACAGATCCAGCACCGAAGTCAAAGTTATTAAGGAACTTTGGAAACTATTCTTGGTCCTCTCATAGCCTCTTAGTAAAAATAAATAAACATTACAAGCAATAATTCAGCATTGTACTGCATTAAATACTATGGCTGAAAAACTTCTTAATATTAAAAGAAAGATTACTTGGTCATGTTTCTTGCCAGAAAATCCTTTCTGCAGATCTCTCCCATTCCTGGAAAATGGTTGATTCTCTGAGGAAGGAGAAAAAAAGAAAGATAATTGGTACTTTTTAGTTTTACTGGCATATCTAATACAATCATTTAATACATTCAACTGCATAAACAGGCAAACATAATTAGTGTAACATATACATTATTTAAGACAATATCTTACATTATACTATGTATTCTTAGCAATACTAAAGATGCTCTAAGTTGCATTCTCCTCCACCAACATGAGTATGCCCACTGATTTCATTTCAGACATGAAAGGCAACTATCATACTCTTACTCACAAAGCTATCTAGGAACAAAGAATGCTATCACAAAGTAATGGTAAAGAAAGGAATTATTTATTCACAGAAACTGTGGAGAGGCTCTGCTTGTTAACTTAGTGCTTGAGAGCTTATGAGCAGCTGATAAATGATGTTTTGCATCTTCTTTCAAACTCTGATCATTCACAGCACCCAACTGGCAGAGAGAAGCATGAAAGAGCAGCCCCAAATATTTAAACACTACATTCCAAGAGGTATGAACAAAAAGCTCTGGAAAAAATAGGATTCTAAAATACGTGGTGGTATAGCTTTATCACAGTCTGCTTGGTGGTGTTTTGTGGGGTTTTTTTCTCTCCATACCAATGTAACTGACCAAAAGCAACACACTACTGAATATTTCAGAGTGAAGCAGCTTACTGAAACCTGTCAGAAATCCTAACTGCCACCCTACCTGATAGTTCTGAAGTTCAGCAATCTTTTCTTGTTGCACAGCAGAGTCACTCCATATAAGATTAGCTGTTTCATCTTCATCGCGTGTTTTCACAAATCCCATTTCTCGTATTACTACACGTACTATGGAGAAATCACATACTTAGGGAAATAGATTCATTTTCAAAATTAAAAAAAAATCAATTAAGATTTTAAACACTTCCAATATTCAATCCTTTGTCCAAGAACAACGTTAGCATGCAAGCTATTATTTATCTTGCAATATTTCCGTCAGTTTATTGCTAACCTGTCAGTACAACATTACAGCACCTTGTACTTAAGCTTGAATCAGAGCACAACCACTGATGGGAACTGTAAAGGGTTTCAGGACATTCCACAATCATCTAGTAAAAGTCCATTTGCATGGCTTTTAGGCTTAATCTTGGCTACACATATATTCATTTTAAAACAGTGATGACTGTAAGTGTCACTGCCGACAATGGCCAAGAACACTTCTTTAGTCAAGGCATAGTAGTTACAAAAGAAAATGCATACATTATTTTAATATAAAAAAAGAAGCAAGATTATATGCCAGGCATAACCCACATTCTAGGAGAAAAGATTTTTCTGAAGTAGTCCCAATCATCAAAATACAAAACATCAGTAGATTTTATTGAGAAACCTCTGTAAAATAATTAGAGTTTTTAATATTAAATTTACACTGTTCATCTTTCAAGGCTTTAAATAAGCTTCCAAACACACGAATAATTTATAATTAGAGGTGTTTTCCACAGCCTTTCTGATTACTTAATTTTTTGTATTTCAAGGCCCTTCCTTGAGTAACAAATGGGGAGTATTAGATGCACAGTGCCCAAAGCCATCAACTCAATATTTCAAAAAAAGAACAACGGTTTCTTACAAAGGAAAATCCTTTGGAAATATCTCACTGTCAGCTTGATGCAAAGTCCATTAATTCACTCACGTCAATAGCTATTAGGATGGAAACAAGATATGTAGCTTCCTACCAATTTCATATTTTGTGCCAGCAACATTTGCAGTGATCACTCCGTTCTTCTTCTTCTTTCTGACTTTCCTTTTAATTGTGCTTTGATAGGGTAGTTCCGAACTCAAGGTCAGAGGAGTAGTTCCATGGTTATCTTTGAAAAATAATATTGTAACTATCAACATCTTTATCTCTCAAATAACATACACAAATAAACTAAAACCACAAAAATTTCCTTTTTTGCTTAGAGGTACAAGCATACTGATTAATTAATAGGCTATATTAAAATCTAAGACTAGCATACCTCCCTCATTAGGCAAGGATGGCATTATAACCTAGGATAGTGCAGAAGCAGAGCCCAAATTCAGTTCCAAGTTCTCAGAAAACGATGGAGCTGTCAAAGCCAAATTATTTAAAGCTCCAGTCATACCATTTCAGTCTCTGGCTGTAGCAAATATTAGTTCTGGAACTGATAGATATCTGTGTGAAAAAAAAAAAAAAACAAGATGAGAGACTTCGTTATAGAGAAATCCTGAAAAAATATAAACAGCAGAAAACTAAATATGGAAATGTTTTTAATAACAAGTCAAAAGTAATGCTTATTTTAAAAGATTGATCAAGCCATTGTAGATACAAAACTTTGTTCATTACAATTCAATTGTTTTGCTTCTGGGAAAAATAATTTTGCAGTATTAATTTTCAAAATGAGATTCTATTACCTCATTTTCTTATTTTCATTTGCGGATGGGAGATTTTGCACATGCAAATAGCTAACACTGAACTCAATCAACACTGCAAACCTTTATCTCCACAAAGCTCTCTGATTTTATAGCAATTTTACACCATAGTTTAATTAAAAATTTAAAATCAGACACACTGTATTATGCGTTTTCAGGTACCAAATAGGAAATAACTGAAATCACCTTAATAATCTTCTCCTATTTTTAAATTTTTAAAAGAAATTTTTAAAAGAAATTGTCCAATAATCACTTTGTAACACATGGCTGCTGTTTCATGATCACTTCATGACACAGCAGACATAACTTTAAAGATACTTCAGATTGGCACGTATCTAAATTGTCAGCTTCTAAAATTAGTAATTATTTTTCATGTCTACACTGATCCAAAATTTCAGGTTTTTTTCCTCCATGAATGCACGACCACATGTGAGAATCCCACATATTAAAAAGTTTTTTAAGTGCAGCTTAAGCACATAAGAACAATGGGTTAAAATATTAGGAAAAAATCTCAGGAATAAAATACTTCTAAAGACACTGCTAAATTACTTCAGGCATGCAGCACTGTTACAACAAAGTCTGCAAGAAAACTAATGCTGTCTTTGGCAGGCTGCCTCAAACAAATCTATGAGTTTTCTAAATGTATACAATCTAAGTCACTGATTTTTTCATGCTTTCATTTCTTTTCTTCAATTATATGTATGGCAAAAGTTCCTTACACTAGCTTTAGCTTAGTTTATATTACCACTTCTGGCAATTGCAAAACTTAATTTAAATAGCTTTATATAGAGCATGAGAAATTTCTTCTGCTATAAGTAGCAGAAAATAACCATAAAGTCAAATTCAGCCATGACTTATAATGTGAAATATATTTGGCAATAAGATTGGACAAGATATGCATTAGCAAAATCACCAAAACTTTACTTATAAATCCTCATTTTTTATTTGTGTGTGTGTGTCTGTGTGTGCACGCATCAGAGAGAAAAAGAAAGAGATACACTATATTTTGGACAAGTCACCCTCTTGGTGAGAAAATGTAAAAGCAGATACCTTGAGCTGCAAGATCTTATTTCCTTTCAAGACAGAAATCTATCCTTAACAGTCCATTAACACAAAAGGCTAAAAAGAACAGATTACTGTTCTTTTATGACTGCCACCAATGTACTAAGGGCTAAAATCTGCTTTGTAATAAAACAACCAAATCTCCCTCATGTCCATTTACTGGACTGCCACAAATTGACACTAAAACACAACGCTGGGCGTTTATCCAGAAAGCAGGAAATGTTTTATACACAATGTTTGACAGCACAGTAGTAACACAGAGCCATACGTACTTGCAACATACTTTGCTGAACTAGAACTCACTAAAAAAATCTCCCCACATTGAACTAAAACTGGCAGGTCATTTTGCAGATTTAACTTTTTGGATCAGATCATCTGAGAAAGTGGCCTGAAAGGCCTCTTGCCCGCTGGCCTACTGGAAGTAGACACAGAGATGGGAAAGCAAAACATTCACCCTCCTTAAATCCACTGTGAAGGAAAAGCAGTACTGGGCACAATGACTCACTGAATATTGCATGTTGTCTGTTTCTCAAGCTAAGAATACTACCGGAGTACAAGACATGCTTAGTTCCTGGGAATAATACTGAAGTACATCCGTTAGCCAATTAAGGACTTCTATGCACACGCACAAATGCCTAGCAGTCGTTCCTCCACCGTACTGGCTAAAAACTTTTAACAAATTTGGAAGAATGTCAAGACAACTAATATTTCCCTGTGAGAAATACCAGTCCTTAATAATACAGCATGATTTACAATCTATGATATAGTAATAAAAACCAAGAGCTTTCATTCAGCTTATAATCACAGAAAAATATCTGCCCAAAGTTACTATAATACATTTTATTCTGACGGTGGACAACAAAGCTCCAAGCTGCACTGCACTGTTGAATTACTGTTTGTCTTGTTATAGAAACTATTCTATTCTTTTGAGAGGAATACTCTTATCGAGTTCAAACAGAAAGCACCAACACTCAAGGTCCACGACTTTCAAGCAGTCAACTTCTTAGCACGCATACATGAGTTGATGGCAAAGATTTATGGTCACCTTTAGAGTATTCTATGGACAGTTAGTAGTTTGGCCATACAGAAAAAAAAGTAATTAGAATGACAAACTCCCACAAAAATCTCTGCTAAGTGATCATTGAAGTAACTTTTCTTTAAGATTATGCATGACATAATTTTTGTAATCACAGCTGAAGCATGTATTCCTCTAAGGACATCAAATCTTTTTACTAAGACACATGCAATCTATTTGTTAAATCCTGATTTAAACTGAATTCTTCAAAGACAAAAGGGATCATTAGTGTATTCTGTATTCACACTTACTCTAGGATTTTGACTTTTCACAAGCAGTGTCCTATGCCAATGATGTTAAGCTGTATTCTACCTTAAGTTTGCATCTAATAATTCAAAACTGTTTTACAATTTCTTCACTTCTCTTAAGTCACCCATCTCCAAACAACCATTTCACTGAATCCCAAAAGACCAGCAGTTCAAAATTAGAAGTAGTTTTCCAAAGTATTTTACAAAGATGCAGTCTTTTCCTTTGCTCCTACTAGAACCATCTCCTTTCCAAGGACAAGTACAGGTTCAATGCAATTGGACAGTCTCAGCTGTTCTTCCCACCATGTCTAGTGACAGATGAGAGGTACAGCATCTCATCTAGAGGAAAACATTACCCAGAGCACTAGCTGTGAGTTGTTGGCTAAGCCATGGTAGCAGTAGTCTTTCTCCTGCTTAGACCTCCATGCTTTGTATGTTTCCAGTGCAGCACCACGAGAAGTTCCAATTCTGCAACAAGAAAACCCGGCTACTGAGGAAGCTCTCTCACTGGGGGAATAGGTCACTTGGGAGAGACAGGAATACGCCTCTAAGAGCAAAAAATGAAGGGAACTGCTGTGGGGAGGGAGCTGGAAGGCAAGGGGCACTCACTGAGCGCACCAAGAAGCAACACTGCAATGCCACAGGCCCTGGCAGCCATAAGCTCCCACGTCGTTCCTCTTTTTGACTTCTATATGGCAGAAATCACACTTCTCTGACCCAGCCCCTCCCCAGGCACCTTTTTCTAGCTCACATCTCTTGATTTATTATTATTGCCCAGCCCTACTCCCATGAGAGCAGGGCTGTCTCAGGCCTGCTGAAGGGCCAAGGCCTGCAGCGCAGACCACCCTGCGGCAGCCTCTGCCACCCCGAGGGAATGGCCAGGTACGGGGCAAAGCTTATTGCAGGGCCCATGGGGTGGGTCACCCAGCAGCAGTCAGGTTATGAACACATCAAATTCGAGTCAGTTCTGACACCCATGACAAGTTTTTACTTACAAAATAAGCATAACCTATAACCTGCATTCAGCTACAACGATGTAGAGGCATATCTCTCTAGTAACCTACCTGAAAGGCCTGTTTCTAAGAGATTGCTTTTAATAACAGGGAAGAAAATATTTTCTTTCCAAACTGGGACTGACAGAGCTTGTTAACCTTGATAAGTCACCTATTGGGAATCTCTGAATTCAGTGTCAGACAGAAAAGGATTGCAGTTCCTGCTGTATATACCATTTCCCTCCTGAAGTCATGATACATGCAAATTGGTGAAGGTTTGAAGGTTTGCTGCTCACCCATACTGATTCAAGGATGGCTGAGCAGAAATGGTTAACCTATAAATGGAGAAAGACTTGTGAAGTAGAAATTAATGCAACTTCATCAGGTTAGCACGTTCTTATATAAAAAAGCACCTTTTATTCAAAGTGTTCCGGGGAGTGGAGAAGATGTTATCTTTACTGTTGCCTGGCAAAGGTGTGAGAGAGCCAGCAAGAGAGATTCACTGCACACAATCCTGTCCTAGAAACAGACAGAGGGGAAAAAAAATACCAAACCCATGAAAACAACAAAAAAAACAAACAACAAGGAGCTTTTTTTTGCTCCAGGGACAGCAGAGGTGGGGGACAGCTGGAGAGGGAAGTGTTGCACACATACAAGGACCAAAGCAGATGCTTGAGTCTATCTAAAGGAACAGTCTGAGCAGGGTATAAGGGTGCCTGGGTGAAGAGTGGGGGACAGCGAGAAAAGTGGTTTCATAGTTAATGGAATGATCCTTCATTACCAGTTGTAATACATTGTAGAAAAGAAAAAAAATCAAGAGTATTTTTCGCTGCTACACAAATTAAGTATCTCATAAGAAGTTAGTAAACTAAATGTATTCTTCCAGATTATATAGAAGTATTTTTAAACAAATCCCTCTATTATTTCCTGAGTTACTTGTTCCACACTGCTCACAAGTGACCTCTGTCTTTCATGATCCTTTACTTTACATACTGATGCAGCCTGGAGCTGAAAAGGTTATTTTTAATCTCTAAACAGGAATTGTGTGCCATCCCCCCCAAAGAGTAAGCATCCCAGAAAAAGGTTGAATTAATCAGATCAAAATAGAGAAGGGGGAGTCAAATCAAACTTAAAGTGGTGCATAGACTCTATGTACTGTTTTTAATGTGAAACTCTTCCTTCCTTCTAGCCACTGTGACACTACTGGCCAACCAGTTTGAAAAGCTCCATGGGCTCTGCATGTGCTTTACTTTACATGTTGATATATTCAGTTCATATATGAACTGAAAATGTTATTTCAGTCCTTAAAACACGGCACATACAACAAGACCTCTGAAAGACAACTAACATTTCTTAAGTGTTTACC